TAAAATTATAGCTAAATAATAAAAATAGGGTAACTAATGAGAAGTAATAGCATACTTTTGTAAAATACATTAGTGAATAATTGAAGTCCATATAATTCACATTACTTTTTACATAGAGAAAGGAAATATGAAAACTCCATATATTATACTTATCGAAAATATTCTAGGAGGTGATAGAATAATTATTCTGTTTATATTATAATAACTTTCTACCGGATGGGCCAAAACTAAGGAAATACAGAGAAACTTGAATATCTCCATTACGGCTTGAGCAAACGAGCTAATTTTTTTTTATCAATGATAGAAGCATGTTCAAGCTTTATATTCATAAAGACATGCCTAGAGAGATCCCTTCTTAAGTGTATTATTCTATTTCCTATCTGTGAAAAAGTAAACTTTTTTCTTAAGATCAATCGTGATACTTAACAAAGAGTCTCTTTAGGCATGTCTTTATGGACATAAAGCTTGAACATGCTTCTATCATTGATAAAAAATTAGCTCGTTTGCTCAAACTGTAAGGGAGGTATTCAATTTTTTCTGTATTTCCTTACTTTTGGCCCACCCAGTATATTGATCATGGAACGGGTATCCCATAAATAATGGCATTGTTCATATTGCTTAGTAAATATCAGCTTCCTTATTCGCTGAAGCGAGTTGCGATTTTCTCCAAACGGCTCTCTGTACATTTCTCTACAAAAATGTATAAAAAGGTTTACTGGAAAAGGATGCTCTGAGAACGAACGAGACAAAAACTTTGAGGCCCCAAAATAGCATCCTGGAAAAAGACATCTTCCACGTCTCTTGAATTTGACATAATGAAAGCGCTTCGAAGGAAACAAACCAAATACACTACTTTTGTAGGCCTTCCCAAACTATCTTTTAGTTGTATCTTGAATTTTTTCAACACTTCATCGCGACTGCAAACGAGCATTCTCTCTTTCTAGTCTTCCTAATTTTTCGAACTTTCCAATGTCGCTATTTCGGTGTATTGGAGTTTTTGTCCCGTAGTATCTCAGCATTATATCTTGGAGAAAATCTTTTTATAAAGTTTTATAGTAAATTGCATAGAGAATTTTGTGAAATCAACCCGATGTCTATAGAATGCATATTGACGGAGATATTTACGGAATACAAAGAGTGCCATTATTTATGGGACACCCGTTATTTTTTCCTATGATGCTTTTTTCAGACTTATTCCGTGACTTTGATTTAAATATTAGAAATACAACTCAATCATATCACTGTGATAATAGAAGGATTTATAAAAATATAAAATTCCATTTATTTTCAATGAGCATATAAGAAATTAAAACCTATCTTGCCGATACCGCGCGCCATCTTTCAACATAGTCTGTGTTGAGGAGGAACAGAAGTAATTATAATGTAGCGAGGTTATTATTGCATGAGTATATGGAATTGTATGCAACAAATCGACTACGGCTCTAACAATATATTGTAAGATAGAAAACGATGTGTTAGATATTGTACTTGCTTATATTTATGATGCCCAAGTTGAAACCTTGCCACTGAATCAGATGACAACCTCAACACAGAACAAGAGCGACGAGTCCAATAATAATAATATTAATATTAATCTGAAGAGCAAAGAAGATGATGGTCCGACTCTCCTTGGCAGCTCATCACTATCATCATTTTCACAGTGTGGAGCCCTGAAAGGTGATGATAAATATTTTGCCATCAACTATGAAGGCGGGAAAATGATCGAATATTGCCTGAAATCCAAGAAATGTTTGGCTTATGCTAATATTCAAATCGCAATGGATGCTCCTTTTGATGGGGTCGTTGCTACTCAAGCTATCCGTGCAAAGGGGCCCACTGAAAAGCAACTCTTTGGTTATAATCAACAAACATTATTATCTGCCATCAATCAAGTTTTTGATTACATTATTGATGAGTTTCCTCAACCATTCGTAATGATCCAGATTGCCCGAGGAAGATCCTCAGCAGATACACTGCAAGACATTCATCATATCGTAGATAAATTAACTGATTCTGGTGGTAAATATGAAATCAAAACAGGTTATCGATCGTCCGATTATTTCAAGATTCCAAAAGATTCTGAACAAGAATTTGTGTTTGTGAATATCGGCATGTTTGCTCGATTAACCAATGTCCATCAAATGCTACGCGGAACAGCTTGTAATCCAATCCCAACGATCGATTTAGATATGAATGACGAACAAAGATTAATAATCTTCAACAAAAGAAATCATGATGATGCCAAAAATATTTTGAATCATTTTTCCTCCCAATTCCAAAATATTATATTGTTCGGAATGACTGACCAAATGCCGTTTGTCACACCGGATCAGTGTCCTGCTATTGAAATGCAACGACTTATTCATTTGGTCCTCACATCATAAATGTATGCCAAAGATTTTTTCGTTATCTTAAATGTTCATTAAATTAATGAATGTAGTTTCTTTGGTTGGGTTGTTGGGAGTGAAACGCCCTACGCCGTGAGGCATCCCCTGCCGGTGTGTGTTTCGCACAGGGAACAATGCAATGCCTGTGTTTTTTTTGAATTCTCGCTAATTCACCAACCAAATTGTCGTGGCGATTCTTTCAAGTTTCGCCATCGAATTGATGTTGTGAATCTGAACCTCTTATTCACACTGTTTTCCAC